CCACACTCAAGCCAAACTTCAAGGAGGTGGCTGGAAAGTGTAGTATAGCTGTGGATCTAGGAGAAAAACAATGTGGGTTCCAGGAGGGCTAACTGGTCTTGTCTTCTTGCTTTGACACATGAACTTGTTTCCCCTCTTCCTTCTGATAAGTAAGTCAAGTTAAGAATTTTGCTTTATTTGAGTGAGTTAGGTTTTCATGTTTTTCTATTAGAAAATAAAAAACCAGTCTGTGACAGGAGGACACCCAGGATATATTGATCATGTCCTCTTCTGTTCAGAGTTGATTTAAAAATTCTCCCATATCATTTACTGTTTTCGTTTTCCTGTTTTTAACTCTTCAATAAATAGTAGCTCAAATGGGGCTTTTGTGACTGGAACTGCCCTTCATTGCTTGTCTAGAGAGGCAGTAGAGTGAGGTGGCCAATAGTAAGACTGTAGGATCTGGTTTCACATCACAGCTGTGTCACTCACAACTGCTTAACCATGGACAAGTTATTTGATCTTGCTAAGCCGAGAACACCCACCTGAGGGTGTTGTTTTGAGGATTTAGTAAATTAATATATTGAAAGCACTCAATACACAATGTTGGAACACAGTAAGTCTTGTAGAAGTGCTGAGTGGTACGTCTGCTCTTTCAGCTCCACTTTATTTATTTATTTATTTATTTTTGAGACGGAGTTTCGCTCTTGTTACCCAGGCTGGAGTGCAATGGCGCGATCTCGGCTCACTTCAACCTTCGCCTCCTGGGTTCAGGCAATTCTCCTGCCTCAGCCTCCTGAGTAGCTGGGATTACAGGCACGCGCCACCACACCCAGCTAGTTTTTTGTATTTTTAGTAGAGACGGGGTTTCACCATGTTGACCAAGATGGTCTCGATCTCCCGACCTCGTGATCCACCTGCCTCGGCCTCCCAAAGTTCTGGGATTACAGGCTTGAGCCACCGCGCCCCACCTTGAGCTCCACTTTATTCTTCATTCAAAACTCAGTATAGTGTCTCCTTTGGAAAGTTTCCTCTGACTGTGGCGGGCATAATTCTTTTTTTTTCTTCCCCTTTCTGCTTCCAGATAACATTGAATTTAATGCATTAAATTATGAGGTCCCAGCACTTTGGGAGGCCGAGGTGGGTGGATCACGAGGTCAAGAGATTGAGACCATCCTGGCCAACATGGTGAAACCCTGTCTCTACTAAAAATACAAAAAAATTAGCTGGGTGTGGTGGCACACGCCTGTAGTCCCAGCTACTCGGGAGGCTGAGGCAAAAGAATTGCTTGAACCCAGGAGGCGGAGGTTGCAGTGAGCCAAGGTTGCACCACTGCACTCCAGCCTGGTGTCTGGTGATGGAGTGAGACTCTGTCTCAAAAAAAAAAAAAGGTGTGTCCATGCATGTTGTCTGTCTCAGGCATTAGATCTAAGGACACGAACTTGGACATTGTAAATATGCCTTTGTGTATCCCTATAGCCAGCACAGCACAGCACAGTACAGTATAGTGTCGTACACATTGTAGGCAATCAGATATTTGCTGATGTGAAGGAAACCTCATTAACCAGAATACCCTATATAGCAGAAAGTTCTGTTTCCTTACCGTACTGGAGAGCAAGGAATTCACTATATTAGCTTTGACTTTTCATTTTAGTTGACTTGGTGACACTAGATTTAAGTGGCAGATCACTGTGCCCTACCTGCCTTTTTACATGATCCAGTCCACCCAAACTGGACCTCAGGACCAGCAGCCTTTGTGCTAAGATTCTGGTTTTACTTACCTGGCATGTATAGCTCCTCTTCCATAGGGGTACATGTAGGAATGTAATAATTCTGTTTCTTAGTTTGTGTTATCTTACCAGCATTAGTCTGTGCCATGCACCTTTCTTGTTTCATTCATTCACTTTTTTCTTGCCTCATCATTCCCACCAGGCCTGTGATAGGAAAATTCTATGAGTATCCTTAGCTAATAGATAATACTGTTTTGCATGTGTGAATTTTTAGTTTACATACATTATGGACTTTGTTGGTTTTTTCTCTATTTTTAACACTGTTGATGTTAACATAACTTTAGGCTTGCAGAGACGTTACAAGAGTGATACAAGGAACTATCGTCATTACTTGGGAAGGAAGAGAAAGTATGTATTCATAGATGTGTGTACTTGTATATACACACAGTATTATTATTTTGAACTCTTTGAGAGTTAAGTTACAACATCATGATCCTCCAGTGCCCATTTCCTAAGAACAAGCATATATTGCCCAGTTAACAAAATCAGGAAATTGAGTATCAAGAAAATACTATTACATAACTTACAGATCTTATTCAAATTTTCCTCAGTTTTCCTAATAATGTCCTTTATGGGATATTTCCCCTCTGCCCTAGCATCTAATTCAGGATCACATCTCGCATATAGCTTTTATGTCTTTTTAAAATCTCTTTTAATCTCTATCTGTTGTTCAGCCTTTCTTTATTTTTTATGACATTGACATTTTAAAGACCACCAGCAGTTTTTTTTTTTGTGTGTGTGTGGACCATCTTTCAATTGAGGTTTGTCTGATGTTTCTTTTTGATTATATTTCCTCCCTTCCCTTCTCAGTAATGTTTCATTTTAAAAAATACTTTGTTTTTAAACTCTCTTCATGTTGATACATCTTTAGCCAGTTTGTTGATTCCACCTGCTGCACAGAATTCCCTAATGCAGACTGCCTCTTTGAACAGATTGGCAGGTCTGCCAGGGAGGCAGCATCCGGCAGACCTTCCTTGGCATCAGGATGGCATCTTTGCGGGGGCCGCATGACATGGGAAATGAGAACACCACTTTGACACATGTGCCCTGGGTCACCCTGCTTAAGCTAATGGTGGTGGGCCTCAGATGTTTGCTTCTTTAACTATTCCTAAGGCACACAGAGCTATTATGCTTTGAAAGATAAAGTAGGATAGGAAGTTGATGTCTTTGATTGTTTCTTCATTCATTCATGCATTTAATAAACATTGATTAAGGGCCTACTCTGCTCATTGGAGCTCATCTTCTAGCATATTGAACATCTAAAAGAAACTTTTGAATTGAAAGCTTGTCAAACTGACAGAGGCAAAATTTTTAAAATTGAGGTTAAGCTAAATGGTTTGACATTTTCAATTTATTAGTAAAATAACCTTGTGGAAATAATGCTTCTGCCTTGTCACCTACATACAGTGATTTCCATTTCTCTCTGGCCTCTTCTGGTATTTACCAACATTGAACATCATTTGTGCATCATTATCACTATAGTGCTTAAATAATTTTGCATTCCCTATTTTCCAGTGGAAATTATTTTGTATATGCTTTATCTTGTTTCATAACTTGCATATTCATCACACTTAATGACTGCAGTACATTCTTTCAAGCTGATCTATAACTTATGCATATCTCTTATGCTGTAAATTTGCCTTGTTTCTAGTTTTTCCACTAATACCAGGAAAAGAAAATTTAAAGGAAGTGTATAACAGGCTCCTGTGTTAAGGCAGTTTTGATAAATGGTTTCATCTAAAATCATTCATTCTAAGATACAAAAAAGGTTAGATTCCTGTGAAGAAAACACATTCTGTCTTTTTTTAAGGAAAACTTATTTTTCCTTGATTTTGTCTTGAGCCTTCACTTATAATGGAAAGATAATTAGTAGAGAAAGACCTGATGTGCCTGGAGCATTGCCAGATGAAAACCTTGCACGTATTGTTAGGAAACAGCGGGTTACCAGTGGGGAATAGAGTAATGGACTGTGCAGTGAAGATAGAAGGTTGCAGCCTGACAACTCCCAACTGCAGCAGCCCCACAATCACTTACTTTCCTTGACACAAGTGGACAGTCTTTCAGTTCTTCTGCACTTCCCTTGTGAGAACCACCAGAGGAGTATATCACCCTCTGGCAGGAGGCAGTCAGCTCCATCACAGCAGGGAGGAATGATGAGCCGTCCATACCTCTGGACACACCTAGGAATGATTCTGCAGCAGTTCGCTGAGAACTGAGGAAACCAAGAAATGGACATAGCTCTCATTTACAGATCACTATATCTCACCCCACCCAGAATCTTCTAAGCATCTGGTGCTGAGAGGTACTTGCCAGGGGTGAGGTGGAAGCTTGTAATCAGCTGGTGGTGGCAGGGACTATTTCTAAAGAGGGCAAAAATAAAAAGATTTGTGATTCACGAACTGGACCTTGGTAGGGTGGAATAACTGATACATTAATTGTAGGCTGTGTTAGAACCTTCAAAGATGATGGGGCTCTGACCTCTTCTGTATTAGTTATGTGCCTGTAGGGATCAGATGAGGATCTTCTTCATATACAGAATTTTTATCCTACTTCTCCTCCATGAGAGTAGGACCTTGTGTATCTGGTTTGTTACTCTATTTTCTGTTGCTTGGTGCTGAGCTGGAGCCTAAGAAATGCTCAGTAAATATTTTTTGGTCGGACAAATTCAGCTGCTTAGTTGTGTAGACTAAAAACATGATCATCTAGGCTGCTGCAATCTACTTGTTTAAATGGTTCTCTCAGGTTACTGCAGAAATGAATAGTAGCTAAAGAAACCAAAGCCAGAGAATAGCAGGGTGTGAAGGAAAATACAGTAGCTTTTGGAGGCAGGCACATAAGGGTTCTTATCCCAACTCTACTACTTGCTGTTGTCTTCACTTGGTTGACTCATTTATGATCCCTAAATCTCAGCTTTCTTACCTGTAACATGTGAATCATACCACTTTCCCCACAGAGTTTGTGGGCAGTTTTTTGCTCAGCATGGATGCTCAAAAAATGTCACCTTCTTCCTCCCGCCTCTGCCAAAAGGGAGATAAAAGCAGGAGGGGCTCAGATGATGTGTTCAAGTATCATCAGGAAGCAGATCTCTACATTTGTTTACCTGTCATTTAAAATGGGCCACATATTGGCTTCTCTTCATATAGCAGCTAATGGCATGTATACTTCAAACAGCATATGTACCTTTTGGTTCTGCTTTGAGCCTGTTAGTAACAGTGTTCTTTACCTTTACAGGATTTATGAGCGTGTGATAGACCCTCCAGAGACCAACCTTCCCCCAGGAATCAATTTGTGGCTTGGCCAGCGCAACCAAAAACATGGCTTATTCAAAGTAAGCACTAACTTTCTTTTTATTGAAGTCTATATATAGGCAATGCTCGATTTTGTGTGTTGGAGATGTGTTAATAATTAGTGGGAAGGGCATGGCATAATAACTACTAATGTTTATTGAACACTTACTGTGTGACACATGCTTTTCTATGTGTTTGACATGATTAAACTTGTTTACTTGTCATAATACTTTATGAAGTAGCTGCTTTGAAACCAGGCAGAGAGTTAAGTGACTTGCCCAAGGTTGTCCAGTTCACTCTGCTGCCAGGTACGGATGATCCAGAATGTAAAATATCTTCAGAATGTTGACCTCCGAATTCTGGAGGATTTAGGATAATCTTCAAACTGGTTTCTCTTCTCAGTTTATGTGTTAATTCAGTTTAGAGTAGATGTCTAGATATGAAAATCAATCTCTGCTTCCTTGAGCTTTGGTTTAATTGCGTTACTGGGAACAGAAAACCAAATACTGCGTGTTCTCACTTTTAAGTGGGGGCTAAGTATTGAATACACATGGACTCAAAGATGGGAACAATAGACACTGTGAATTATTAGAGGTGGGAGGGAGGGAGCCATGGGCTGAAAAACTGTCTGTTGGGTACCACACTCACTATCCTCAAACCTCAGCATCACACAATATACCCATGTAATAAAACTGCATGTGTACCCCCTACATCCAGATTTTTTTTTACTGCATTATTGTACTTCACAGAAACTTGAGGATACAGTGATAAAATGAATTGAAACTTAAAAATAGTATGAAATTTAAAGACAGTCTTATTCTTTAAAAAAATGACACACTTTTGCTTCTGGCAATATGGCAGACTAGTTATTCTAAAAATCCTTCTGCTTCAAAATGCCTATACTGCTCGATAAAATACCACAAAAATCTTAAAATTCAGGATTGTACTTATACAAAAGGAATTCCTTTGATACCAAATATAAGGAGAGGGGAGAAAGCCAGAGGGGTGTCTGTCAATAGCAGGAACTTAGAGCCTTAGATTTCTTTCTTTTTATTTTTTAAAAAAACTAAGGTGTAATTTACATACAGGGAAATTTATTCCATTTAATGTACAGTGTCACAACTTTTGAAAAATCTACAAGAATTATAATCATCATTATAATTGAGATAAAGAACCATTTATTTATCTACAAAAATTTCTATTCCCCTTTATATTCAACCCTTCTCCTCACCCGAAGCCTTTAGCAACCACTGGCATGTTTTCTGACCCTGTAGTTTTGCCTTTACCAGAATGTTATATAAATGGAGTCGTTTATGTTTGTGTGTATCTACATCAGTTTGTATGTTGAAATGCACCAAGCTGTTTTGTGTATCAGTGGTTCATTGTTTTCTGTTGCTGAGTAGTATTCCAGTTCTGTTCTATGAATATATCATAGTTTGTTTACCCATCCTTCAGTTGATGGATATCTGGGTTATTTCCAGTTTGGGACTATTGTGAATAGAACCACTATAAACACTTGCATGCAAGTTTTTGTATGAACGGAGGTTTTGATTTCACTTAGGTAAGTGTGTAGGTGTGGGATTATTGGGTTGTATGTTAAGTATATGTTTAAATTCACAAGCAACTGCTAAACCATTTTTTCAAAGTAGCTGTGCCATTTTTACATTCTCACCAGCAATCTATGAAAATTTCAGTTAGAGCCTTAAATTTCAACCGTCTGTGTGGGGTGGGAGAAATGACTTAGATCCCATGTATGACTGAGAGTTGGAATGGAAGTTTTAAAAGTAAAGCCAGTCCATTATCTAGCAGAAGAAAGCAATCCAGCAAATCTATCCTGTCTACCTTTCATCTCCAGATAAGAAAAACTAATACTTTACAGAAAACTTGTAAACCACAGCCTTTGGAGGGTTGCAGGCTTGAAACCCAGATCACTTTACCCATGAAGCTCAATAAAGTATCTTAAAATGGCCCTGGATTGGGTACCTTGGGGGTCCTGATGAAGAAAATACAAATTATCTTTGGAGAAAGTAACTTTTGATATAGACCTCAAAGGATGCCCACAGATTAAGTCCATAAAATAGGAGTTCTCAAGGCATCATGAGTGACAATGGAAAGAAACAAAAAAGTGCTCAATTGGCCCTCACAGGAATACAGAAAATGAAATTAACAGATAAAGAGTTTTAAAAAATACTTCTGTTTAAAATGTTTGAAGAATCAAAATAATAAAGAATGTATGATGACTAGAGATAATAAATGTGCCCAGATAGTTGAACTAAAAGCACTTCCAAAAATGTGAGATATAGTTGTTGAGTTTAAAAAAGAAGAAAGAAAACCTCAGTGAACCTGCTAAATAGTAGATTAGACACAGGTATTAAGAGTGTGAAATGGAAAATATTGTTAAAGTAATAAAACTAATAGTAGTGCTTCAGAGATAAAGAAGAAAATAGGAAAGAGGTTAAAATACAGAAAGGATACATGTATCTGAATAAAAGTTTACATATCTGTTTAATTTGTGTGTATATGTATGTGTATCTGTGTATATATAATATACATATATTTAAAAATTAAGGAAGACAAAGAATGTATATTATCTATATATGTATTTGAAAATTCCACATAATAACAGAAATAAAGATTATGAGCACTCTTAGAAGTTTAATGGGTAAGAATTTTCTACCTTGACAAGAGACATTAATTCTCATTACTGGAAGAACAATGCAATAAAAATATATGTTGCTGATTGCGATCTAAGAAGTTGCTTAGAAAACATAGAGGTATCAGAACAGCCGTTTTATTTTGTCCAAAAACCAATTTTTTTTTCTGCTTTTACCTGGCTGATACTTGCTATGCCATGTCCTGTGTCTGTGGTTAATTAGCATGCTGGCAGATGGCAGGATGATTTGAGAGTCTCTTCAATTCTCTGGGGGTTGGCTGGCTGTTGACTCTCACTCCTCAGTTCTCCACATAGTCTCTCATCTCCAGTCGATTAGCTCAACTTGTTTACATTTAAGCCCTAGGATTTCAAGTATAGGAAGAGTGTAATCCCTAAAGTACTAATGTTTTTCAAGGTTCTGTTTGCTTCATCACATTTGCTAATGTAAGTCATATGGCCAAATCCAGAGTCAAAGTGTAAATAAATAGACTCCATCTCTTCAAGGGCTTCTCCATGACATCACATTGCCAGGATATGGATGCAAGGAGAGAATTTTTTTGACTACATCAGTAACCTATTATACAAACCAAGATAAATAGCCACACTTAGATATATTGACAGATTAGCAGAACTCCAAAGACACAGAGAAGATCTTAAAAATAGCCGGTGATAAAAGACAAATTTTCTACCAAAGGATAACAAATTGAACAGCTGGCTTTTAAACAGTCAAAGCAGGAGGCAGAAAACAGTAGAAAAAGTGTTTTACGAGTTTTGAGAGAAAAATAACTCTCAAAGGTAGTAGCATATACCTAGCTTAATTGTCATTTGGGAATGAGTGTGACATAAAGACATGTGTAGAGAAGTAAAACTCTTAGTTGATGACCAATAGATCTTCATTTAAAAACTTCCTAGAAGGAAGACATACAGTGCAAGAAGAATTGGTGAGCAAATGCATGTTGACAGTATGCACAAATCTCGGTGATTATTATTCTGAATGATTATCATTATCATTGTTTGATTAAAATTATAGTAATGCTTAATTTTAAAAAAATTGACTAGAAGGCTGGCATGACTCATGGAGAGAAGGAAGAACTGTGTTATGGCAGCCCACCTGAGAGCACATGGGAAAGGGGAAACCCCTCCTCACAGCCAAGGGAGGCAGATCTCCAATAACTCTAGCCAGAGGCTCAGGGACAGAATTTGGATCTCCCTGGGCCTGAGCTCTTAGGGTGAGAGGTAGCCACAGTCTCTGTGGACCAGCAGACTTAGCTTCTTCTCTTGGTAGTTCTGAGGAATCTGGGCAGCCCAGACAAGTGGATTTCCCCCCAGTGAAGCACACCCCCTCCAACAATGGACAAAGTGCTTCATTAAACAGGTCCTGCTCCCCATGCCATCCAACTGGGTGAGACCCTCCAATAGGGGTTGACAGACACCCTATACAAGGGCTATTCTGACAACAGGTTGGTGTCCCTAGAGGTCAGAGGTCCCAGAAGCAGTAGGCACCCATCTTTGCTGTTCTCCAGCCTCCTTGAGTGACATCTCCAGGCGTGGGAGTGAATCAAATGAATAAGGCCTAAAGTGAACCCCCAGCAAACTGCAGCAGCCCTATAGAAGAGAGACCTGACTATTGAAAGAAAAACAAACAGGCAGAAAGTGACAACAACAGCATCAACAATAGCAAAAGGCCCCACAAAATCCCCATCCAAGAGTCAGCAGCTTCAAAAACTTAAACTAGACAAACTCATGAAGACAAGAAAGAATCAACAAAAAAATGCAGAGAACCCAAAAGGCCAAAGTGCCTTTTCTCTTCCAAATGATTGCAGTGTCTTTCCATCAAGGGCACAGAACTGGATGGGGGAATCACATGGATGAATTGACAGAAGTAGGTTTCAGAAGATAGGCAATAAAAAACTATGCTGAGCTAAAGGAGCCCATTCTAACCCAATGCAAAGAAGCTAAGAACCTTGATAAAAGGTTAGAGGAATTGCTACCTGAAATAACCAGCTTAGAGAGGAACATAAATGACCTGATGGAGCTGGAAAACATAGCATGAGAACTTCATGAAGCATACACAAGTATCAAAAGCTGGATCTCCCAAGTGGAAGACAGAATATCAGAGTTTGCAGACCACCTTACTGAAATAAGACATGAAGACAAGAATAAAGGCAAAAAGAATGAAAAGGAATGAACAAAGTTTCCAAGAAATAGGGAACATCACAAAAAGACTGAACCTGTGATTGACTGGAATACCAGAAGGAGAATGGAAATGAGCTGCAAAACACACTTCAGGATATTATCCAGGAGAAATTCCCCAACCTAGCCAGACAGGCCAACTTGCAAATTCAGGAAATGCAGAGAACACCATTAAGATACTTCATGAGAATATCA